GTTATATCAGGTGTAAAAATCTAGTAATGATCTATGAAAGTCAAATAACAAATAAATCTCTAAAAGATCATGAAAATAATAATTTAAAAATGAAACTCAGAATTTTGAAATCTCAGAAATTGTTTTTGCTAGTAATGGCCCTCTTACTCAAGTAAGTTTTAGATAGATAAAAAGAGAGACAGGAAATTAATTTGTTTCAATAATATACACCAGAATGATGGAGATTAACATCAAAAGAAAATAACAATGGTATAATGGAACATAACCTGGTGATATTTATGCTGCATTTTTTGTGATTAACAGAGAATACAACAGCTTTTATATTATAAAAGACAATGATCACTTTTCTACAAAAATGATGAATACTTTCTGATATGGAATTCGCACTTCATACATTCATAATACATCTGCAGAGTGTCCTTGTAAACTCACTTTTTTCCTCAAACACTAAAATGTTTGAGCTTATAGAATGTGTGTCTCTTCATCAGCCACATCCTTTCTAGACTTTATCATTGACTCTGCTTTTTGAAGAGCTATTTGTAATTGATATGAAAAATCATCTGTACTTCATATGCCATAATATATATGGCTATCCTGTCCAGATATATTTTCTTGATAAATGAAAAAAAACTCAGTTTGTGAAAATATGTTTCACACTATGATGGCATTATTTAAAAGACTGATCTATATCTTGACTTTTAAGAGCAATATGCATGTGATTATATGTGATAGATTTGATTGTCATGCTTTATGCAGATTTTTAAACTTAAAAAAACAACATTTAAGGCTCTATCACCTTGAAAAAAGTTAGCTATTTATCAAATATGAGAATTCATGGTCGCTGACATTTTCACAGACTTTATAGCCCTCACCATTCACTTGTTCATGCTGGAAGATTTACTTTGGGTTAGTACAATCACACAGATCATGCTCATTGAGTACTTGGATAAGAGGGCCATTTCTGGCAGAAACAATTTCTGAGGTCCTAATTTTCTTCATAATCAATTTGATAAGTTTATTATAAATATTCACCACATTGATTGAGAGGTATATATTGTTATCCACATTAAAATATCAGTCCTTTCGACAGAAATCAAGAACAGTGTGATTATCAAAAATGTTTTTAGAGTATAATAATATTATGGCAAAGAAGACAGTTGAAAGGTGATAGTGTGTAGCAAACTGTGTTTTCATTACTGAAGGTGAGGTTCAGCATGGGCTAGTGTAGATATCTGTGCCATCTTTTCTAGTGATATAAAATGCTGCAGGGTCTCCAATGTGTAATATGTAGAAGAGCTTTCCATTATCTGAAACTTGATTGAGACCACACATCAGGGCCCTCAAGCCCTCTGATGCCCTTTCTGGGCATTCAATCTCCTCCTCCACAATGTCATCAACCTTGGGAGTATTGCACAATTTGGGCTGTGTTAAAATATTCAAAGTGGCCTCAGAAAAGCTTTCCATTATCTTAAACTTGGTTTGCAAATCTTGAGTGGCTGGCATATTTATAGATCCTGTAGCCCTCACAATTATTCACTCTTTTAAGCTGAAAATCTGCTATAGATAGATATAATCACACTGACCATGTTCATTGAGTATGTTGCATAGTATGTATGCTTTTGATCAAACACTGATGCAATATACAAATCTTACTTTGAAACATCAAATATAGCACAGTTAGAACTTGTTTGGCTGAACATATTCAGATATGCTATATCATCAAGATAATGAAAGATCACTCATAATGTGGAGCTGTATAGTGATTTTATATTAGCATTTATGTGAAATGAGCTTCAAATTAGCTTGAAGCATTGTAGCAAAAGTGAAGAAGATAGTGTTTCAGCAAGAGAATAATCTCAAGCATAACTTAGCTGACTTAAAAAGAATACTATTAAGAGTATGGCATGGCTTGATCAATTATCAAAGCTTAATTTCTATATTATCTTTGAAGTTTATCACACAAAAGATTAGCAAGGCATGAGAAGCCACTTAAAGGAATTACAAAATTGTGAAAGCAATTGAAAAAGAAATGAAAGAGTATTTACAGATTTGTGAATCAGAGCTTCATCAAAAGTTTACATGAATGGCTTAAGGCAGGGCTTATGGCACAGGGTTGATTAACTGAGTACTAGGGTTTTTAGATATGGAGGCTTTGGATTGTTAGTGACAAAAGTGGGTAAATAAGTGAGTCTCATAGAATTGCATATATCTTTAGAATAACACATATATATCTATTCTACAGATACTCATTCGAAAGCTGAGAAGAATGGCATTCTAATGCTATATTATCTGTGAGAATATTGGCAGCCATTCTGAAGATAGAAGGGCAACAGTGGAAATCAAGCAGATATCTATGTCATTTTGTTATTCACTGTATATGATATTTAAACTATATAGATGGTAAATAGCAGATGGTGTAGTGGATATAATGCTTGGTGCTTTCCAGAAAATAACTGTTCTGGAAGTTTAGAGTTCAATTCCTAATCTGTGCAGTTTCACGTGCTTTTAATTTTAAAAAAGTGTACCTTGCATTGTTGTACAAATAATGCCAAACTATGCCATTTACTGTTGGTGCAACTAGCTAGTTGCACCGCACAATAGATGTTATAATTTGGTGTTATTTGTACATTGTGACAACTTACAGTGTGAGAATTTAAATGACTAACATCTTTATAAATTGTGTAGTCTCAAATCTTCGCATTTTTGACTCGAACAATTGACCACATGCAGTTCTGGCTGTATTACCATTGAGATGTAATTAACTATTCATTACTGATATGTTCAAACATTACAAAAAGTCAAAATATGAGTCAGTATTTCAATAATGCTTAAGCTCTTTCTAGATGCTCCGCATAAATTAGTGACACCTTTTGACATGTTTCTTCATGCATGTTACCATCATTGGACTTTTCTGTTATATTTCCCAGACAATAGAACATTATTGCAAAACTGCAATAAGGCCAATCAATCTACTCCGGTGTGGAAACTTCAATTACACTCATAGCTCTTGTTTTTGTATGGTTAGAATGAAGAAGTTGAAGTGTAGAGCAATAAAATGTAGAGATCTATTCTCATATCTCAAGTAGAGACTATAATAAGTCCGAAAATGTTAAACCATTCATTGTAGATCACAAAATGTTGAATGATATGGTTTGAACCACTTTGAAGCCATTGAATGCCATGGTTTGGATCACTTTCAAGCCATTGAATCCAGTGATTTCAATAGCTTCGAAGCCATCAGCCCTTCAGGCATTAACCCTAGCAAATTCAGTGCTGTGATTGGCTCAGAATATTTGCACCTATTTGTATCAGCCACATCATGCAGGTTCAATCTCTGGCTTGTATGCTCATTAGAAAAGATAACAAACAGCAGTAAGAACAAAACATTATCTAGTAAGAAACTTTTGAAGGAAGGACCCTCTCCTAACCTCAGGACAGGGGCAGAAAATGAAACCACTTTGTAATGATCTACTATCCCACGCTTTGTTTAAGTATCCCACGGAAACTAAAAAATGTTGCATAGACATCCTAAGTGCCCAGTCCTGTACAAACTCTTTCTTCATACCTCAGAAATTGTAATGTTGTAATATTATTTGTACTTTAAAAGATCAAATGCAGCATAGTCAGGGCTGTTCTGACTAAACATATATATATGTTTGGTATATCATTGAGAGATGAATACTAATAACAAATACACACAATATGAGGTAGAAGGGCACAACATACATACTGTATATGCACTTAAACATTCAAGTGATTAATAACATCAAAGTGTGCTAAGGTTTTCAGCTTAGCCCTATATAGCAGTTATGAGTGTGATTGTGAAACTGCCCTTTTAAGGCTCTGCATACATTGTTTATGTTTCAAGTATGTCAATATTATGCTTTTTACCATCATCTGTCTCTCTACCAATGTTTTCAATAAAATACATATAACAAACTAAAACTATGTAGCCTCAGAAATACACAAGCCATATACTGTAGGCTGTGGCTTAGCCACTAAAGGCAATTAATAATTTTACCTTCTAGCAAAAACTGCAGATGAATATAAACCACCCAAGACTTGCTTACCTTGCAAGTCTTGCGATCATATATACATATATATATATATATATAAAACACATTTATGAGAAATTGTCAATTCTCAAAAGATAACTGAAGTCTTCTGAGAGATTGTAAAACACTCACATGTCTTATGTGTAATTCTAAACCTGTAGCATAACTGGTGTGAAATTGTAATCCAGTCAGAGGTCTTCTGTTCACTTGCAAAAAGGTCAAGATTTTGTGTTCCATTGTAAACTAGTCTCAGGATCTATGTACCCTTTGCAATTTGTCCCAAAACTGTCAAGCCCTTCTCACTACATCCCTGGCCTTATGAGCCATTATTCAATCTTCAGTCACATTTTGAGTCATTTAGAACCACTCTAATCCATTTCAAATTATAAATATGTATTGTGAATATAGTCACTATAAACACCCATGTCTAGACTGTACTGTACATTGCCAATGCGATACGAAGAGCAGCCAGTCATGCTGATACAAATTTAAGACTGTGAGTCACAACAGTGAGCAATGAGAGCAAGCGCAATAATCAGTGAGCTTTGCAGATGCAGAGAATATGAGCGAGGATATCAAAAATCAGATGTGACTAGCACATCTGGTGAAGGTGACAAGACCGAGTGAAAAGAAGTGAGATGGACAAAGAGCAGCCATTGCAAGAATGAGAATGAGACATGTAAGCAGGAGTTAGAAGAGCAGGTGAAACTGAGGAGAGCAGACATAGAGCACAAGTCTGATGATAAGATGGTGTATCATTCACAGGTAAGATCATGAGGAACTGCTTTCTGCTGCAGCATTTTTCTGCCTAATGATGTCCACTTGCGATGGGTCCGAGCAGTGTCTTATGCATTTACTGTTGCTCGTAAATTTTCGGATTGGTTTTTCAAACATTTTTCTGTAAATAACCAATTAATAAGTGCATCTGCTAGTCCAAATCATGTATCAGTTCCAAATTTCCAGTATCAGACCTCTGATCTTCAGATTGTTGAGCAACTCGAGGCACTTATTGTCAAAGGCCAGTCCGAAGAACACCTTGTTGTTGCCTTCATCCTAAGTCATGCATGCACATGCATAAAGCACACCTGCACATTTTATCAGAATAACATGCACTCAACCAATATGCACTTACCAATAGGCAGAGATATATCAACGTGTGCGGTGTGTAGTGGTGGAGCTTGTATTGCTTATTTTCGCTCTGCCATCATCAACATTAGTGTCAGTGTTAACACCTGTCTCCATTTCTCCCCTTCATCAACCTCCTCATTTGCACCCACCCCAGCAGGCATGATATCGTATAATAACGAGAATGTCCATGTGACCAATATTAATTCCAGCCTGTCCTCTGTCATCAGCTCAGATGTCTTCATGGCTACCTTATGCACCTCACATCCTCCTCATAGCCTTTTTCACACTCACTTTGACCTGCTGAAAGAAGCCAAATGCAGAAGCTGCAGGCATCATAGGTGATCACATTCCCATTGAAGACTTGAGGCTTGAGTCTGTTGTCATTGCGAGGCTGAGTTTTGAGCACATGCTTCACTTTCACAGGCAGTGACAGCAGGAATATCACTGTGAGCTGTTCCATGAGGCTTGACCTGGATTTGATGAAGGCTGTGAATGTGTAACCACATGCCAGTGCAGTGCATGGGGAAAGGGGAAGGAAGAGAGGGAGCGAGTGAGAATCAGCAAGTGTGTTCAATACCAGGATGCAGGGCTAATTCAGAGATGGTATGAAGGACACGAAGAGATGAGATGGAAAAAAAATAGTACAACAAATAAGGCATGACACATACATGCATGCATCTGACCATCATTTGATGAAACATTCTGCCCAGCATACCCAGCATAAAGTTATCTGTTGCACAAGGCCAGTACAATAAGAAAATATAATACACCGTAAACAAATTTGAAGAGAAAATGAGACAGTGATAGATGGCTGATAAAAATACATAAAGCAAAAAAAAATTAAATACTCAATGATGTGCTGTTACAGAGGTGGAAGACACATGTGGATCTTTGAGAACTGCTGGAAGGCAGGTTCTGACACAGTTGTAACTCGCGTAGAGCATAAAGATAATGGTGATGGAGTCACAGGGTGGCTGCATGATGGCAAATGTGGGTGCCACTCTGTGTAGTCAAAGTCTTCAAAAAAGGAGGAAAGAGGCATGAATGAAGCAGTGTCTGTGTTCAGCCTGTGGAGGTGTTCTAGTCAGAAGGTGTCTTATGGGATGTGTTGTTGGTGCAAGTTATCTGTGATGCCATGGTGGGGGGCAATCATGAAAAGGGCTCAGAGCAGTATGCGCTGACATGCCACAATGAGAGAGGTCACTGAAACAGGAGGATAGAAGAGGAGGGAGGTTGAGCAAGAGTTGCCTTCAAGCACATGACAGTGAGTGTGTCCTTATGATGTGAGTGAGAAAGCTGAGTTTGAAACATGTGCTGACTGAGCTTTCTTTCTCTTTGAGCAATCACCTGCCCTTCTAACGTAACTCTGATCCTGATTGTTGACATTGAGTACTGAGTCCTTATTAGCTGCTGTGTATTATACAAATGTGTATAGTGCCAAATATTAAGACATCAGCTTTTACACATTGTACTGATCAGAAATCAATTTACTTGACAAGTTGCCTCAATCTGCACTGGCAGCAGTATTCTACTCGCTCATCTGCTCGATGCTAGATAGTGATCATCACCAGCAGTGGTGGCTGAAGATCTTCAGCACTTTATTAGCACTACTTGAGCCCAGCTTCAGTTCAACTGAGGCTGTGGCATTAATCTAGATTTATGCTGTGCTGTGAGCATCTATGTGGGCTGCTTTCAAGGTGAGTAGATGAGGCCAAACTATGACATTGGAGTCAACTCATCAAAACTGAGAATTCTACATAGTATTTGGGTTTGGGGGAATGTTAGAGTTGTAAAACATGCTGAGTGCTTGCAAAGGAAAAGCAAGACCAGAGCAGGATTATCTATAAATATATATGTTTTCAATTGCTCGCAGAATCTGTGTGAGGTTTGCAAGAGCTCACAAGACTGCTGATCATTTGCAATCTCTCGTGGGACCTATAGCAGTATAGAAGTACATATATGCATTTTTCTACATTTTTCAACTATCTCAACTCTTGCATGGTATATAAAGTCTCACCAGCAGTTATGTACTAATGTGCCTTTTGCTGATGTTGATGGCTGAAACCTTGAATTGCAACAATTACTGGTTGAACATAAAATAAAAACTGTCATAACTCCAGAAAATGCTAAATGATACATTACTCAGATAATAGTATATTGTTAGACCAGATTATACACAGCTGAAAATGATGAAATGCAAATGTTTGAATTATTTTGAAAGTGATCAATTAATTTAATAAATATTGACCATAGATACAGCACTCTGATTGATTACGAATATTTTCACATATTTCTATCAGCCGCATTATCACATTCAAACTCAGATTCAAATCCAGTGCTCCACGTGCATTAGCAAAAATAACATTTTCTGAGCTAAAAGCATGATGTTCTAAGGTTGCAGAGCCTCAGAAAGAAGATCTTTCAATTTAAGAGAAATGAGATTGAGATCAGTGCAAAGTGTTGTCTGAATAATGCCAAGCTATGATGTTTGTCATATGTGCAAGTAGCTAGTTGTGCTAATGATAAACATTATAGTTTGGTGTTATTTGCACATTATGACAACTTAAAGTGTGGAAATTTGGATGACTGACATCTTCTAGCCTCAAATCTTCGCTTTTCTGAGCTGAAAAACAATGTGTTCCGTGTTATCCATGTGGTTAAACATTATTAAAAGTTGAAATATGGATCAGCATTTTCAACAGTTTATCATAGTGGCTGAAGACTCAGATTGTCTCATCTATTCTGCTTGTATGTATTGATGAAATGATAAAATAGCATACAAAGTGAACTGTCAGCATGCAGTATACTCTATTGTGCATGTTTAGATATCAAATTATCAACAGTGTCTAAGCCTGCTCAGATTTTTTAATTCAGCCACAGCAGCACTGAGCATTATTGTAGAAATGCATTATCAAAGCTGTGCATAGATCTTTTATATACTTCAGCATGTTCTGCGAAGCCCTTAATCATAACTTCTCTTTTGCTATGCATTTTTCAAGCGATGAAAACATATATTTTACTATAGTGGCTGAAAACTGAGATTGCATTAACAATCTCCTCCCCCAAATGTCATGAACCTTGGCTGAACTGCAAGCTATCTGCCATTTCAATATTCACAGTGACTTCAGAAGAGCTTCCCATTATCTGAAACTTGGTTGAGGCCACCATTCAGGTCACTAAAGCACTCTGATACCCTTCCTGGGCATTCAATCTCCTCCCTCAGAATATCATGAACCTTGGCAGAACTGCAAGCTATCTGCCATTTCAATATCAGGGTGACCTCAGAAGAGCTTTTTATTATCTTAAGCTTGGTTTGCAAATTCTGGGTGGCTGACAACTTTATAGGTCCTGTAGCCCTCCCAATTATTCACTCTTTTAAGCTGACAGTCTGCTATAGATAGATATAATCACACTCACCATGTTTATTGAGTATGTTGTACAGTATATATATGCTTTTGATCAAACCCTGATGCACTATACAAATCATATTTTGAAACATCAAGCATAGCATGGGTAGAACTTGTCTGGCTGAATGTAATCAGATATGCTATATCATCAAGATGATAAAAGATCACTGGTAATGTGGAGCTGTATAGTTTGAAAAGAAATGAGATATACCTGTAAGACTCATGGCAAGATAAATCTGACCTTATGTTAGCATTTTGAGAAATGAGCTTCAAAATGGCTTGAAGCATTGCAGCAAAAGTGAAGGAGATGGTGTTTTAGCAAGATAACAATCTCAAGCATGACTTAGCTGACTTAAAGAGAACACTATTAAGACTAAGATATGGCATGATCAATTATCAGAGCTTAATTTCATAGATCATCTTTGAAGTTATCTCACAAAAAGATTAGCAAGGTATGAGGAGCCACTGAAAGAGATCACACAATTGTGAATGCAATTGAAAAAGAAATGAAAGAATATTGACAGGTTTGTGCATCTAAAATTGATGAAAAACATGCATGAATGGATTAAAATTCTTTTTAAGACAAAGGATTGATTACTCAACTACTAGAGTTTTGAAGTTTGTTAGTGACAAAAGTTTATAAATGAGTTGACCTGATAGAGTTGCATATATCTTCAGAACAAGATGTAGATTTTCAACCAACAGAACTCAGGTGAAAGGTGAGAAGGATAGCTTTCTAATGCTATTTTATCTGTGAATATAGCTACACCCAATCTGAAGATAGAAGAAAAACAGTGAAATCAAGGAGATATTTGTGCACTTTTATTAAATACTGTATATAATATTTGAGCTGTGTTCACAATAAAAAGCAGGTGGTCTAGTGGATAGAATGCTTGGTACTATCTGGAAAGTAAGTGTCCTGGAAGTTTGAAGTTCAATTCCTGGTCTGTGCAGTTTTATGTGCTTTTAATTTTAAAAAGTGCAACTCCTGTTGTTTTACAAACAATGATAAACTATGACATGCACATTCATGCAACTAGCTAGTTGCACGAACATGCACATCATAATTTGTTGTTATTTGCACATTGTGGCAATATAAAGTGTGAGAATTTGAGTGGCTGACATCTTCATACATTCTGTGACCTTAAATCTTCGCTTTTTTGAGACAAAAAATGGCCTACATGTAGTTCTAATTGTGAAGCATGAATGTTTAATTTATCATGTACTATTGGTATGTTCAAAAGTTGAAAAAAAAGTCGAAATATGAATCCATATACTGTGGTGATGAAAAACTTTGATTGCATCAATAGCTCTTGTTTTTGTATGCTCAGAATGAAGGAATTGAAGTGAAGAGCAGTAGAATGTGAAGATCTACTGCTTATTTCTCAAGTAGAGATCATAATGAGTTTGAAAAATGTTAAATCAGTCATTGTTTGCATCACTATACTGAGATATATAATAAAACTATGGATACTGCAGTTTGAACCACTTTCAAGCCATTGAATACAATAGTTTGAACAGCTTTGAAGCCATCAGCCCTTAAGGCATTAACCTTAGCAAATTCAGTGCTGTGATTGGCTCTGAATATTTGCACCTCATCAAATTAGCTGTGTCCTGCATGTTCAAACTCCGGTTTGTATGCCCATTACAAAAGATCACAAAACTGAGTAAGAAAAAAATGTAACACAGTAAGAAACTTTTAAAGGAAGGGCCCTCTCCTCACCTCAGGACAGGGACAGAAAATGAAACCACTTTGTAATTGTCTACTCTTCCATGCATTGCTTAAGTGTCCCACGAAGACAAAAAATGAAATTACATACATGTAAACATCTCAAGTGCTGAGTGTCACACAAACTCTTTCTTTGTATCTCAGAAATTATAATTAAGGTCCAAATGTTAGTGCTACACCTGTTTATAAGACTGATCCTCAAAATTGCAAGTTTGACCAGTTTATATACAATTGGCTTTTAGAAGATTTATATATAAAGGCACTATCATTGTTCAAGGCTTTTATAACTATAAATTGACTGGTTCAGATAATAACTTACAAATT